TGCCCAGAAGAAAGGCCTCTGGTTTCTTCAAGAAGGTATATTTAAATACCTTTTTCAGTTCATTATATATCATTTCCCAGAAAGCCTTAATCCTTGGGCACGTCCACCAAAGGTGAAAGAATGTACCTTCAGTTTCTTTACATTTCCAGCATTTATTGTCGGGCAAATGATAGATTTTTGCAAGCTTGACTGGGGTCATGTACCACCTGTATATCATTTTCATAATATTCTCTCTTAGGGCATTACATGCCGTAAACTTCATACCTGTGGTCCATAACTGTTCCCAGTCAGCAAACATAATATTATGTCCAACATCTTGTGCCCATTTAATCATAGCAGATTTCACCGTTTCATCCTGAGTATTCCATTTCAACAGCAAGTTATACATTCTTGACAAATTCTTATTTTGGGTTCTAACAGTTCTGTTTCTAGTTTTGATTTTTCCACCTGGATAGATTTCATGGGATTACTGCTACTACTACATTACATTCATATTCCACCTTTCCCCCAAGGAGCTCAAGATGGTGTATATGATTCTTCCCATTTTATCATGACAGCAGTCCTGCAAGCTAGGTTAGGCCTAGAGTGACTGGCTCAAGGTAACCCAGTGGGTTCCATTGCTAAGTAGGGATTTGAATCCTGGTTTCCCAGGTCCTTAGCTGAAACCCTAACTACAGATTCAGAGAATTCATCTTGGAGGCACCAGTTCCTCAGGATGATCAAGGGGGCCTGACATGATGTTGTGAGGAGCCAGGGGCAGAGTGGAGCCAAATGCCCTCTGAACATTGAGGGGGCCTGCCCCCCTTAAAAACACATGGGTGGGGGGAGCGAAAGTGCTTCAGCCCTTGGGAGCAGGTGCCTATGATTCCTCTAATTTCATAGCACTGCAAAAAGATCCCTTTCATCATGTCTTTAAAATATATTCCATCTGCCTAATGACCTAAAGAAGCTAGTTACCCCTCACTGACCCTGATATTCCTTCGAAGCCCAATAGCATAGCAAAACTGAAAGAAAATCAGTCATAACAGCCAGATGAGAGGGACACAACACAGGGGAAAGTATGGCCCCCAAGGCCTTAGCAAATGCTGCCCCTTGTTTTACTTGAGCATTACATTCAGCTGGTGGGGATATATGGGTATTCCTGTTACTTCTCAATAATCTGACACTTTAAAGCACTTCATGAACAACAGGCTGCACAATATGGATGGTTTCAAGTGACCATTTATGATGGTTATTTAAAACATTCAATATGGGGTTCCTCTGTCCATGTCGTCTATAACTTCCAGCTGCACAGTAAGATGCAAACAACCATTTCGCTGCTTTAATAGACTCCCAAGCAGTGTTAGGATCCTGATAATGTCCATCTTACTGAGGGGGTAGATTGCTGACTTTCCGGGTGGTTCTAAGTTGCCAAATGGTCATTTGATATTACCCATTTATTGGCTTTCTCATGCTAGGCAAAATGGGAATAACGGAACCCTTCCTTACAGGACTGTGTGGGACTATATATGACAAAGATTGTAAAACACCCTTCAAAGGAGATGTGTTTCTAAGCAGTCACAACTCTACTAACAGCTGATCTGCAATATTAGTATATTCATAAAGTACACCTGTTGCTGGACCACTGTGACTTCTTTCAGGCTCATATGCAGTGCTTTTTTCTGGGGGGGGGGGGAGGATGCAGGGGCCACATAGCCCTAAACATTTTGTGAATCTTTGTACTTTTGTCCATTTATTGTATTTATTTTTCCTGATTTGAACTATAAAATGGTGATTTTCTTGAGTCAAAATAAGAGTACCCCTTAACTTTTTCTTTAGAAAAAAAAGCACTGCTTATATTTCTTTTAAAAAAAAGGAAAAAAGGAAAGAAAAAATATGAGGGCTCACTCCAACTAAGAAAAGAGCCATCAATGGATGAGTAACTTTATGTCAGCGGATTCCAATAGGCCTAGTCTTAGACTTAAAGGTAAAGGTAAAGGGACCCCTGACCTTTAGGTCCAGCCGTGACCGACTCTGGGGTTGCAGTGCTCATCTCACTTTACTGGCCGAGGGAGCCGGCATACAGCTTCCGGGTCATGTGGCCAGCATGACTAAGCCGCTTCTGGTGAACCAGAGCAGCGCACGGAAACGCTGTTTACCTTCCTGCCGGAGTGGTACCTATTTATCTACTTGCACTTTGACATGCTTTCAAACTGCTAGGTTGGCAGGAGCAGGGACCGAGCAACGGGAGCTCACCCCATCGCGGGGATTCGAACCGCCGACCTTCTGATCGGCAAGTCCTAGGCTCTGTGGTTTAACCCACAGCGCCACCAGCGTCCCAGTCTTAGACTTAGAAACATGTTAATTCATTTGTTAATTCATCAACATGTTAATTTACATTGCTCCATTATTTTCTTCTTCATTTATTTTACATTGGTATCTTGTTGATAAGCTCAGTAACAAGAAGTATGAGAAGACAAAAGAACATTTGACATGCAAAACCCCAAAACAAAGCCAAAAGTGCAACAATCTAGCAAGGGTTGCAATGTGTGGTCATATTGATCATGTAACTTGGCTTCACAAGAGTGATGAACTCCCATATTCAGGTAAAATCCACATGTAACTAGAATATCCTGATTAAAGTTCTACAACGCCCATAATCTCTGACAGGAACTGATGGGAATCACAGTACAAAACACCTGGAGGACTCCAGCTTGGGGAAGCCTGAGTTGTACAACTTGAAACATTCATTAACATTATAATGGTTCATATTTCAGCTGCTAGAGTGGAAAGAACCTAATGTTATGGTTCTGCTTCAGAAAGATTCTGCAATAGTAAGTTTATGTTTAACCTCCCCTTTTATATCAGCACACTTGTGACATTAATTCCATTAATAGTTTCTGTTTCCTTTCCTGAAGATGTTTATGTTTGCTTAAATCACCAAGGAAAGACAATTAGGGAGGCTAATTGTATTGAAGAAAACAACAATTATCCTTCTTCCTCTTATTATTTTTTGTCCTTTACTGGGTAGTTTGAAGTAGCACGATAAAAGTGAAATATTCTAAACTTTTGAGCATAACATGTTTTCCAACAGATAATGGAAATTTTCCCTGCCCCTATTATCTGCCTGTGAACTGCATCTCAATTGGAGCTCTTTTTGATTTCTGAGGCTCATTCTTCAAAACCTTATAATTTATATACGCAAAAGATTGAAGCTGTCACAATGTTCTTGACAGTCTTGTAACAGATGTGGTTAAACCTCAAGGCACCATCCTTTTTTTAACAAAGACACACACACACACACACAAACCCCCACAGAAGTCTTTCCTCATTCCCTTTCTTTTATGATAAAAACAGAGGTCCTTTCACACAGAGATTGTGTGTTTAAGTGCTGGAAACTCCTGCAGGCCTCCATAGGTTATTTCGTATAGCTGACAGTTGATCCTGCATACAAAAGCAATTGTACTTCGGTGCCTTTCAGGCAGTTGTCTGAGTATATGCTTCAGTTTTGTGTATATATATATATATATATATATATATATATATATATATATATAACCCACCAACTTCTTTACTGCTCTGTTCCTGGTCTGTTTGATTTTTTCTGGGACTGGGGATTCACTGTCCCACTTTTGCTTCAGTCTGCATACTATAGCAAAGGCTATTCCCCCCTTTTTAAAAAAAATGTGCACTATTTTCTTTTGCAGGGCATGCATTTTTTTGTGTGGATAGTGGTGGCTCCTAGAAGAGAAGCAAAAACATTTGTTTTCTTAGTGAACCAGCTTTCCCCAGTATTATTTCACTGAAGTTCCAGTTTATTCATCTTCCCCTTGCCTGGGGCTTCATAAGGCTTTTCATTGTGTTTCGACTCGACCCAAAGAGTGTCAAAGATCTACGTGTTCTGTTGAGGATGCAGTACAGGAATGGGGAACCTCCAGTCTGCAGGCCAATTTCAACTCACAAGGGGTTCTGATTTGGTCTGTCAAGCCCTTTCCCCCAAAACGCAGCCACCCACTTTAAATCACTGGGGATGTCCCTTTAAGTGGGCAGGGAAATGGGCCCCACTGCTGCCACATGCCCACATAAAGGAGAAGCAGAGCAAAGCTTGGAATGGCTCCCAGTCAATTGCATCCTTTTTTTCCTCAAGGCTCTGAAGCTTTCCTGGTGTTGCCTATATTTCCATTTCATATTCTGTTTTTTGCCTGCTTCCTGGGAGAAAAGCAATGACAAACCTAGACAGCATCTTAAAAAGCAGAGACATCACCTTGCCAACAAAGGTACGTATAGTTAAAGCTATGGTTTTCCCAGTAGTGATGTATGGAAGTGAGAGCTGAACCATAAAGAAGGCTGATCACCGAAGAATTGATGCTTTTGAATTATGGTGCTGGAGGAGACTCTTGAGAGTCCCATGGACTGCAAGAAGATCAAACCTATCCATTCTTAAGGAAATCAGCCCTGAGTGCTCACTGGAAGGACAGATCCTGAAGCTGAGGCTCCAATACTTTGGCCACCTCATGAGAAGAGAAGACTCCCTAGAAAAGACCCTGGTGTTGGGAAAGATGGAGGGCACAAGGAGAAGAGGACGACAGAGAATGAGATGGTTGGACAGTGTTCTCGAAGCTACCAGCATGAGTTTGACCAAACTGCGGGAGGCAGGGGAAGACAGGAGTGCCTGGCATGCTGTGGCCCATGGGGTCATGAAGAGTCGGACACGACTAAACGACTAAACGACTAAACAACAACAACAACAACAAATAGCTTTATCTGTATCCATGAACCAAACAAAGACTTTGCAAATTTGTCCAGCTTAAACACATGTTCTGTCATCATTATAACCATCACGCTAGGTTTCTGGTTCAAGCCCCACATTGGGTGAAAGATTCTTCCATCATAGGGGTCGATTAGATGACACTTGTGGCCCCTTCTGACTCGTTGCAAAATGGTCAAGCTTATCATCATTCTAACCATCAATATACACAAATCCTGTCAATGTAATTCAGAGTTGAGTTGCATAAGCATGTGCCTCTGAATAGCTCAGTCGGTAGAGCATGAGACTCTTAATTCCAGGGTTGCGGGTTCAAGTCCCACATTGGGTGAAAGACTCCTGCATCGCAGGGGTTGACTAGATGACACTTTTGGCCCCTTCCAACTCTATGATTCTGTGATTTTGTTAAATGGTTCAGTCAGTGCATTGTTGCTTTTCTGTTCCCTAAAGAAAAGCAGCTTTTACAGCTCAGCATATACTGCAACTGTTTTTTCCTGGCACCTTGTGGATGGTGCATCTCTGAGACTTAGGTCCCGATCCTACACGTCTTCTGAGTGCACTTGAACGCTCTTTTTCAGAGATGTTGCTACATTGGTTGGTCATGCTGTCTTGCCATTTTTCAAAGAAGCCAAGAGCACTTCCTATTATTGCAATAGCCTCCTTATGTTTTGTACTAAAGAGTACTTACCATTAAACCTTCTTCTCTGCCTCTTCAACTTAAATCTAATATGCTTACAAATTGTCAATTACACCTAGGAACTTCTCCACAGCTGCAGGCATAATTAAAGACCTGAAGACACACAATATGATTTAATGGCTTTCCTCTAATGTGGATTACATTCTATTGATGCTAATACCTGATATACTTAATTGTTCATCTCATACACTGCCATAAAAGCTCAATAAAATGCTAATGATCAGAAGCACATACCCTGGACATGAAAAACTAGAAATCTCTCTGGTCTGTATTTACTATTTTAATTTGAGCTGAATCCACTGCTGATTCGAATATGCACCAATAATATAAGGTTTGTGTGGTGGTGCCAGAGTGTTAAGACCTTCCTTTTTATCTTTAACTTCAAGCATTACTAAAGAAACCCTGGTGCACACCTGCTAAGAGAGCCCTCTGCTTCTTCACACTCATTTCATAGAAAGCAATGGGAGAGTGGGAAGATCAGCATGCTGCAGCCTGCAGCATCAGGGATAATAAATCCTTTGTACTATATGCAGGGAAAATAATGAGCAAATGTATTCTTGCCTGTCCCAATCTGTGTTCCCTTGATTGTTACTCATCATTCGGTCTAACTTCAATAATATTCTTAGCGTGATATGTCTAAGATTAATGAAGCATTTATCCTCAGATAAGAAGCTATCACAGAAATAGATTTCTTACCAATGATGTCGCATTCAAATTAATAATTCCAGCTCTTTAAAAGATAGGCTCAGTAGTGCAGGCCAGTGGCTATAGGCTAATTCTGGTAATGTAGAGCCTAGGGGAAACATAATAGCTCAGAATGGAGCAGTAGGAGACCCACATCTTGACGGCTCTGCTGGTTATATTGCAGAATAGCTTCATCAGAAATCACATCCCCAGCCCTTGCCTTCCATCATCACTTGCAGGGTAATTCTCTCAGGGTGGGGTGGGAGAATGGGAAAACAGTGCAAGACAATATACTTGATGCAGAAAATTCAGGCAAAATGTACCCATGGCCCTCCAGCAAGAAAAGAGACACAAAAACATGGGACATGTTACGTATAGTGATTTAACTGACTGAAATTGTAAGTGCTTGTATGCACTGCTATATTTTTAAATTTGATTCGTTGGTAACTGAACGCTAGTAGTTCTCATTTTATTGGCTAAGGTTGGTCACATGAAAGGTATCTAGTGAAGAAGAGGCTCCATTTTATGTGAAGCAAAAGGACTGTGCTTTAGAATCCACTGTGAACACTGCTAAGTGGAATAGAGTGTTGGAGTGCTTTTTCTCTGCTTGAAAGAAAGAGAGCACAGCTGCAGGAGAGATTTTCTGCAAGTAAAGTTTTTGAATGTTAAAGTCTGGATATTGGTTTAATTTCCAAAGGATCTTGCTACTCTTAGTTCTACAGGACACCTGCCTCAAAGTAGGAAGAACTTAAGCTCTGGGCCCCAGCCAATTGGTTCCGTCTCACAGGAAGGACTTCTGCCTTATTACCATGGTATATTTACTTCAGCTATTAGCAAGGAGACATCACCTTGCCAACAAAGGTCCATATAGTTAAAGCTATGGTTTTCCCAGTAGTGATGTATGGAAGTGAGAGCTGGACCATAAAGAAGGCTGATCACCGAAGAATTGATGCTTTTGAATTATGGTGCTGGAGGAGACTCTTGAGAGTCCCATGGATTGCAAGAAGATCAAACCTATCCATTCTTAAGGAAATCAGCCCTGAGTGCTCACTGGAAGGACAGATCCTGTAGCTGAGGCTCCAATACTCTGGCCACCTCATGAGAAGAGAAGACTCCCTGGAAAAGACCCTGATGTTGGGAAAGATGGAGGGCACGAGGAGAAGGGGACGACAGAGGACGAGATGGCTGGACAGTGTTCTCGAAGCTACCAGCATGAGTTTGACCAAACTGCGGGAGGCAGTGGAAGACAGGAGTGCCTGGCGTGCTCTTGTCCATGGGGTCATGAAGAGTCGGACACGACTAAACAACAACAATTAGCAAGGAAGACTCCTTAGTGTTGTGACAGCATAGAACCGGGCCATGCTTCATTAACTTCTTTATCACTAACTCCCATCACCCCCCAACCATTAGCTATGTTGACTGGTGCTGATGGGATTTGGAATCCAACAACATATAGAGAGCAGAACATTAGCTACTGCCCTTGAATAGTTTTCATATTTACTTCCTCTGAAGATGTGCATCCCATTGTCCCAACTTTTCCCCAGGTAGTTGTGTGCAGTTTGTGAAGTAGCATGAAGACAAAAGAATAATCGAGCACTAGAAATGAACACATTTATTAAATGACAGCTATTTAGTTCATATGAAGGCATTTGTGGGCGTTTTTTCTTCCTCTAAAATATTTACCAGCTTGCTTATTTTGTAGCATCTTGCCTTCTCAAAGGAGCTACTTTAGTGCCCAGGGCCTTTTGATATTATCACGATCTAACTAAATCGATCCTCCTCACTTTGGGGGACCCTCTCAGGCTTGAATCAGTGATGCTATTTTGCCCTAACGCAGACTAAAGGTGTTGCTCCCTAGGGGAACTCAATTGACTCATAAATCAAAGTTCAGTATATCCATTACATTCTATTTAGCCAGAGACAATCATTATTACAGTAATTCATTCTGTTAATTTCCTTTGGGAACAAGATCTTTTGGCCTAAAGACATTAATAGATCTGTTTTGGTTTGTTCATTTTTTTCCTCCCTCAGGTTGACTATTCTCACTATTGATCGAATTTAGAAACAATCAGGCTGCATGTTTCAAGCCTAATTTCTGTTTTGTGCACTTGCAAAGTATGATGGAGTGATTAATATTTTTGAAAAATCTTCTTTTTTTGTATTTGAACTTATAAGCAGGTCAGGATATGAAATGTGCCTTCCTTCCAAGAATTCTTTATCTGAGTTATAAAATAATAGGTCACACACACGATACGGAAAAAGTTTGGTATGCTTAAATCCCATTGACCTGGTTTGGAGCTATAGGCTATAGGAAAGCCTAGATTATTTAGTTATGTGTTCTGCAGCCAGCCACTGCCAACAGATTGAATCTATAAGATTTTATTAACAAAAAGTGAATGTAAGGGAGGGATGAAGTTCCTCTCACTTGATGTGTTCTTGCAAATCAAGAGTGGCTTAGCAATCTTTCCAGGTGGGCTAAGCACATTAAACAGGCCATATGTTACAAAGGCAAAATGTAGATATAAGAATAATTTTTTAAAATACCAAAATTCAGATAGTGATCTTGATCCAAAATAATAACCATTTCCCACATCATCCCCAACTAATTTCTCAACTACCACCTTTAACATCTGCATAATAGCAAGTGTCTTATTTTAGATTTGCGCCGGCAACATAGGGTCATCATCAATAATGACAGTCATGTGTTACTAGTATTACAGTGGATAAGAGAAGGGAGGATGTCCATATAAAGCTAATTAAGAAGTCTCGCATCAGTTCTTGGTGACACCACACAACCCTACCCAAGCAATAAAGTTGCATTGGCCTCTCCTGGTAAAAAGGAATCCAGTGGTTATATTCGGATATATTCACACACACACCATACTTTTTTGTATCTTTTTCTTTTTTCATATGTTTGTCTTTGCATCAATTTATTTCTTTATAATTTAAAAACTTTTTATTAAAATATATAAAGAAAAAGAAGTACGGTGGTACCTCAATGGACATAAGCAATGGTGGGGTTGCAACCATTGCTTACTTTAATATTCTTTAACCTTTCTACTTATCTTCTCAGTGCAAAGAAAGGGGATTAGGGCTGTGCCACAATATAAATGATGACCGTCTTGTGCTCTTTCGGGGAAAAGGCTGACTACCCGGTTTATGTATTTATTATTTATTTAATATATTTCTATTCAAACCCCTTCACCAAGGTGTGGCACAATATTTTTACAAGCCCCCTTCCCGTATTAAAAACCCCCCTAAACCAGAAACCACCACAACAGGCAATAATAACCATAATTAAAACCCCAAGTCCTTAACAAGGGGAGATCCTTACAAACTTTCAGCAATAAAACTACTGGATTCTGAGGAGGTTTGTCTCAGAGCTCTTCCCTGCTGGAAGTATGGTGCTTGTGGTCATCATTTCATACTTTGCACCAATTTCTAATGTTCTACGATATCTGCGGATTAAGAACTGCCCTTGGTCTGATGCCTGGGTTCTTGGGCTCTTCAGCAGTAATAGACCGTAGGCTTTGACATTGGCCATATACAGAAGGGAGGTCCGTTGGATATCTCTTCAGGAATGGACTCCACACCACATCATTATACATTTTCGGCTAGCCTCATTCATTGAACATAATTTGTCCTTTAATTGCTAAGTGGATCTCCCCTTCCAACTGCAGGGTAATAGCTATTGTCAATTAGCGCTGGTATGGTGAAGGGCAGTTCTTCATGGTGATTCATTTCTACTATTAACGTTAATTCTGCTCCAGTCAGCCGGTGTCCAATTTATCCTCTATTTGTGCCACCACTGCTAAACCATGGAGAAATTAAACTCTTCTCTGACAAAAAGAATAAAGTAGTCACAAATTGAACAGATTGTGGCAAAGTTTGGAAACTAAAGAAAAGAAAGTGTCACTAATCCCCCCCCCAAAAAAGTTAGAAAAGTCAGC